ATTTTCCTTCTCAAATTTAAATTAATTTCTTTTTTTCTTTTGCTGCTGCTGCTGCTGCTGCTGCTGCTGCGACCCCCTGCAGCCTGCAGCAACAAAAAAAAATAAAAAATATTTATTTATTTATTTATTTATTTGTTTATTTATTTATTTATTTATTTATTTGTTTATTTATTTATTTTTTTGTTTTTATATAAATGTATTAGTTATCTAATTAAGTAATGAATAGACAAAATAAAAAAAAAAGGAAAAAAATACAACAAATAAAGAAAAAGAAATAAATAAATAAATATATACAAATAAATATAAATATATAAAAATAAATAAGGAGACAAATAAAAAACAAAAATAAATGAAAAGGAGACAAACAAAAAACAAAAAAAAATAAATAAAAAGGAGACAACGAAGAAACAAAAAAGAAATAAACAAACAAAAACCAAAAAAATAAAAAAATAAAAAACAAAAAAAACAAAAGGTAAAAAAATAAAAAACCAAAAAAAAAAAAAACAGAATACCTGTTGATCTGTCTTGCATGCAAGAAAGTGTATTGGTTTATTAAGTATAATGGTTTGCTGCTGCTGCAGCAGCAGCTGCGCTCTGCTGCTGAGGTGTATGGGTGCATTGGGGTGTACATACACCTGACGTTTGTCTAGCTTCTGCTGCTGCAGCAGCAGCAGACCGCATGCATGCATGTATTCTGCTTCTCCCCGCGAGCATACACCCCGCATCGCTAACACCTTACCCACCGGCAGCAGACCCATACACTTGCTGCTGCTTGTACGCAGCACGTCCACGCTGCTGCTGCTGCTGCTGCTGCTGCTGCTGCTGTTGGTGGTGCTGCTGCTGCTGGTGGTGGGGTTGTCGATGCTGCTGCTGGTGGTGGTGGTGCTGTCGATGCTGGGGATGTTGCTGCTGCTGCTCGGGCTGCTGCTGCTGCTGCTGCTGCTGCTGGGGCTGTCAATGCTGCTGCAGCTATCTATGCTGCTGCTGCTGTTGCTGATGCTGCTGCTGCTGTTGGTGCTGTCTATGCTGCTGCTGCTGCTGCTAGAGGTGGTGCTGTTGCTGCTGCTGGGGATGTTGCTGCTGCTGCTGCTGCTGTTCGCGTTGATGCTGCTCTTGGCGTTGCTGCTGCTGTTGCTGCTCCTCCTGTTAGCGTTGCTTCTGCTGCTGTTGCTGCTGCTGCTGCTGCTGCTGCTGCTGCTGCAGAAGGTAGCAGGGAAGGATAGGCTCCAGCCCCTACCCAAGGTCTTAGCATTCCCTACTGCAGCAGCAGCTGGCGCAGCAGCAGAAAGCTGCCTACCGAAGACACAAAAAAAAATATTATTTTTAAACATTTGCTGCTGCAGCAGAAAACAATTGATTTATTACATCCTTTTTTATGTCTTGCTGCTGCTGCTGCTGCTGCTGCTGCTGTTGCTGCTGTTCTTGCTGCTGATGTTACTGTTCCTGTTGCTGCTGCTGCTGCTGCTGCTGCTCCTCTTGCTGCTGTTGCTGCTGCTGCTGCTGTTGCTGTTGGTGTTGCTGTTTCTGCTGATGCGCTCTAGCATCGCAGTTATTACTGCTGCTGCTGCTGCTGCTGCTGCTGTTGCTGCTGCTGCTGTTGCTGCTGCTGCTGCTGCTGCTGCTGCTGCTGCTCCCTCTGTCGATTCAAGTTGGCGGCTGTTCTATAAATGCATACTTTTGTGTATTTGCTTGTGAAATAAATAAAATAAAATAAAATAAAATAAAATAAAAAATAAAATAAAAAATAAAACAAAAATAAAATAAAAATAAATAATATAATTTATTATATATTTGTGTATAGGAGCAGCAGCTGCTCTCGGTGTTGTTCTCTCGCAGCAGCAGAAAACAGAAAAAATATAAAAAGATAAATATGCATGCATATATTAAATAAAAAATATATTTAATAAATTAAAATAAATACATAAATAAAATAAAATAAAATAAAAAAAACAAAATAAATAAAAAAAAAAGAAAAAAAAGTTTCTCTGCTTTCTTATTGTATGAGGCTTGGGGCCCTCTGGTGCTGCATGCGTTTATTTTTTTGTTTATTTTTTTTGTTTTTTGTTTTATTTTTATTTATTTATTCATTTATTTTTTATTTTTAATTAAAAAGAAAAACAAATTCGCAAGTTTTGTCTCTTATTTCACTATAAAAAAAACAAAAAGTAATATAACCCCTCCATTTGTTCCTGCTGCTGCTGCTGCTGCTGCTATTGCTGCTGCTGCTATTGCTGCTGCTGCTATTGCTGCTGCTGCTATTGCTGCTGCTGCTGCTGCTGCTATTTCTGCTGCTGCTGCTGCTGCAGCAGCAGCAGCAGGTGTACATACACCTCAGCGGCGATGGGAAAGGGTCCCGAGCGTTTGACGCTGCAGCAGCTGCGGCAGCTGCAGCGGCGTGGTGCTGCTGCTGCTGCTGCTGGTGATCAGCAGCAGCAGCAACAGCAGCAGCAGCAGCAGCAGCGGGAGGAGAAGACATTGCAGCAGCATAAAGGCTTTTTAAATAAAGGAATAGAAAAGAAAAAACAAAACAAAACAAAAACAAAAACAAAAACAAAAACAAAAAAACAAAACAACACAAAAGCACCAAAAGAAATAAGCTGCCGCAGGAGGGCCCCCATACACGGAGCCGTTCTGCTTCCTGATGGGGAGACACCGGGGCCCCTGCTGCTGACAGCAGCAGCAGCAGCAGCAGCAGCAGCAGCAGCAGCAGGAGCAGCAGCAGCAGGAGCAGCAGCAGGAGCAGCAGGAGCAGCAGCAGCAGGAGGAGCAGCAGGAGGAGCAGCAAGCGTTTCTGCAGCAGCAGCAGCAGATAGATCAACAGCAGCAGCAGCAGCAGCAGCAGCAGCAGGAGCAGCAGCAGGAGGAGGAGGAGTTGCTGCTGAGGTGCATGCATATCGTGCTGCAGTAGCAGCAACCCAATTAAAAAGAATAAGGGGGGGGATAAGGGGCAGCAACAAAACAACAAAAAGCAGAGACCCTCGTTTCTCTTCTTTATGTGGAGAGTTGAATGCTGCTGCATGCGCTCAGGCTTATACATTTATAGATGAGCTGCAGCAGCAGCAGCAGCAGCAGCTGCAGCAGGTAGTTAAAACAGGTCGATTGCCTATAGAAAACAGCAGCAACAGCAGCAGCAGCAGCAGCAGCAGCAGCAGTAGCAGCAGCAGGAGGAAGAAAGGGATTAAGGTTACTGCAGCAGAAAGAGAAGCAGCAAGACAGCTGCTGCAGCGGATGCTGTCGCAGCAGCAGCAGAGAGAAAGAAAAGCAGCAGCAGCAGCACTTCTGTCTTCTTTCTCAAAAAAAGAAAAAGAAAGAATAGCAGCAACAGGAAAGAAACCCCATTACCTAACAAAGAAAAAACTAAGACAAATGCTGCAGCAGCAGCGCCAGCAGCAGCAGCAGCAGCAGC